CTCAAAAAAAAAAAAAAAAATAGAAAAATTGAGGCAAGAGGATTGCCTGAGCCCAACATGGAGGCTACTGTGACTTATGAGGCCATCTTACTCTACTCAGAGTAACAATTGAGACTGTGACTCAAAAAAAAAAAAGTTCTTGTGACTCTAAAATATTGAATGTTAGCCTATATAATTTGTGCCTACCTCTCAAATCAACATTTCATTGAAAATGGAGATATCACCTACCCTATAATCATGGGAAATAAATGTGTCGATCTTAATAAAAATTAAAAACCTACACGTAGCCATACTTTACCACTTGACTTTCATATTTACCAGACTCCAGCTCATGTTATCTTACACATTATACTTACCCTCTTATCCTCTGTGCCCACTTCTTAGCACTGAGTCCCATGTATGTATCCCCTACATCCTTATCCTAGTCACTGCCTCTGTACCCTACCTAAGCCTAGATATTATCATATAATTCCAGAACTCATATAATAAGCACAAAGGGAAGATAAATGAGAGAAGAAAGAAATTATAAATATCCTAAGTACTCTGTTCCTAGTGATTTATCTACAGGATAAGATTTCCACCTCTTACTGTAAGTAAAAACTGAAAGCTGACACAATCTGCCCCCTACCAGTCTTCTTGACAGTTTTATGAGGACTCCAGTCAATGTTGACATGTGTGTTGAAGTCTTCAATAAGTTGCATAGCTCCAATCAGGTTACAAGGCTGGAATAAAGTCTGAAACCTGGGGCTGAGCTGATGGTGAAGGGCGATGGAACTTTGAGCAAAGGTTCCCAGCTCTTTCTGGGAAAAAAAGACACAAAGGAGATCTAAGACAATTCCAGACAATTGATGCCAATAGCCTTTAGAATCAGAATAAGAAATTATCCTTCCTTTACTACAGGATAAAAACAGATAAAAATCATCATAGAGTCATTCACAATAAACATCATTCCATTAGGACTGCTCTTTGGCTGAGTCCTGACTGTACTTGTGATATACTCATTCACTCTTGTTTTATTCTTAGACTTAGCATTCCTTAGCTTTTTGGATATATGATCTAGAATTAAGGTACTCCAGAAGAAGGGCCATTACATTTCCAATTTTTTACTCTTTTGGTTTCTATGGATAAATAACACCTACAAGAAAGTATTCCTCATGATCCTCTAAACACGGTACGAGGTGAATACATCCTGTTGAACACCAAAGAATTTTAAGAGTACTAGCAGACATACTCCACAAAACTCCAAAGAGAATTAACATAAGTAGCTGAAAGTATCATCATTAACTGTCTGTAAGTTTGGGAGAATTTTTATTGGGTTTTAAATTTCGAATTTAAAGAAAACCTGTCTCCAAAATATTCAAAACATCATTAGCAAAATTAATTCTATACATAAAACACTAACATTGAGCCTAACCAATGGACAATGAATTCCATATCTATAAAATGCATAGCAGTATCAAAAACCTAAGGAGTAACGATGGCTCTAAAGATGAGGAAGAGAAGCAAATAAAAATATCAGAAGGATAGTATTTTTAAAAATTACATGTATTGTCTTATTTTAAGGCAAGCATGAGGTAAAGCACATTGAGTAAAGTGAGATATGTCTACCACATATCTGGGCCCCATTTATGGTCTGGGGTCCTGTTTTATATTGCCTGGGCTGCACCCTTCTCATGGTTCCCACATCACCATTGATGAATGCACTATTTATCTTTTTATGGAAATTAGTGGCTTATGTTCTTTCAGCAAACATAGGAAGCCATAAAAGAAAGCAGGCATAGTGCCCAAAAACACCCAGGAGAGAATAAATGTGATTATAATCGGTGAATAACTGTGAGAAATGACTGCCAAACTAATTTCATACTTGAGTCTTTAGAGTTAGGGACATTGGGAACCTTACAAGAAATATCCTGGTGGTACTGGCCTCTGAACTGAGACTGGGGTTGCAGGTGGCGAGAAGGTGGATTTGCGTCAAGAGCTGAACATGCTGGGGAGGGAAAGAGAGTAACATAGTGATGCATTACAACACAGCCATTTCAGGAATCCAGAAAGATCTTATGTTTGCAGCTATTATCACAAAATTATCCTTTGAAAGGACTGTGAGAACAACATAGGATCTTGCCATAAATTTCTCAGATGTATTCTCTTAAACAAAATGACAGAACCAGAGGAAAGTAAACCTCAAACCAGAGGGACTGAGATTAGAAAGAGGGAAAAAAAAAAACAACTACACATCACAGTGAAGCCTGTTCAATTTCACAATGGATTACTAAAGCCTCTTTGAAATCTACATTCCTCAATACTATTTGGTTCCTTACATTGTTTCTTTTTCTTTTTCTTTTTTTTTTTTTTTGAGACAGAGTCCACTCTTTTGCCCTGGGTAGAGTGCCATGGTGTCACAGCTCACAGCAACCCCAGACTCCTGGGATCAAGCGATTTTGTGGCCTCAGCCTCCCAAGTAGCTGGGACTACAGGCACCTGCCACCACATTAAACTAGATTTTTCCTTTTTTTT